GCTGGATGCGGGACTCGATCCAACGACCCTAAGATCATGACCTGAGCCGAAGGCAGACACTTAACGACTGAGCCACCCAGGCGCCCCAAGACTTTATTTTTAAGTAATCTCTACACCCAGTGTCGGGCTCGAACTCACAACCTTGAGATCAAGAGTCGCATCTTCCACCAACTGAGCCAGCCAAGCCCCCCATGTGCTCTCTATTCTTTTCCATTGATCTGCGTGTGTTTTTCTGTGCCAGTTCCATACTATTTTAATTACCACAGCTTCGTAGTGTATCTTGAAACCTGGGACTGTGATACCTCCCGTTTGCTCTTTTTTCTCCAGATTGCTAGGCTATTCAGGGTCTTTTGTGGTCCCGGACATGTTTTAGAATTATTTGTTCTAGTTCTGTGGAAAACAACATCCACTCTCTTAATTAAGTGAAAGCAGGCACCTTATCTTTCCCACCTCTGCATCCTGGCACCTTGGACATGGCATGGCATTTTGCAGGCTCTTAATAAAACTCATGGAATGAAAGGTTGTAGTCACAGTAGAAATACAACTATATTATTAACAGAAAGTTAGGAATTATCCGTGATTCTGCTCTCTGCCGCTCACAATTCCATCTGCAAATCCTGAAGCAAAACTACTTCTCACCACTAAACATATCCCCATATGTCTACTTTTCTGCATTCCCACTGCTCCCATCCTTCTGCAGCTCCTGATTGGCTCTCTCCGAAACACCACGACCACCTCCCAGCTGGTCGCCCAAATCACTGGCCTCGGGGCCCCTCTCCTGACTGCAAACTGATAGCTGCCGGAAGCAAAGAATCAGGTGTGTTATTAGGGCAGAAGTGTTTGTTTATGTTTATTATGTCGAATGAAAATGTGCTAGCTGACCTTACCATGTGAGTTTGCTAGGCTGCTATAACCAAATACCACAGACGGTGTGGCTTAAACAGCAGAGAGTTATTTTCTCACAGTTCTGGGAGGCTGGAAGCCTCAATTCAAGCGTCGGCAGGTTTTCTTTTTTCTGAGGCCCCTCTCGTGGGCTTGCAGATGCTGCCTTCTTGCTGTGTCCTCACATGGTCTTTTATCTGTGTGCACACGTCTGTGTCCTAATCTCTTCTTATAAGGACACCAGTCAAATTGGGTGAGGGCCCACCTAGGGGACCTCATTTTACCTTAATTACATCTTTCCGGGCCCTATCTCCAAATACAGTCGCAGTCTGAGGTACTAGGGTTAGAATTTTAACATACCAATTGAAAGGGGGTGGGACACAATTCAGCCCATCAGTATCCAAACGACATCTGTCTGGTAGTGCACAAAACTGCCCGCTCACATTACAGTCCTTTAGATAACATCCTGTCTTTGCAAAGCTGAGGGAGGTTGTTGTGATAAAAAGTATTGTGTGTAGATGAATGTGGAACAGGAAATGAGTCCTAATTCCAAGGTTTGAGAAGGTGTGCGGTGCGAAACAGGCATTAAGTTCTTAGGACATACTGGATTTGTTTGGACTTACCTACTTAATGAACAGAACTGTTAGGTATTTCTGTAGGCCTAGGGGGTCATGAAACAATTATGGAAACACTAGATGCACCATGAGTTGTGAAAATGGGGCAGCCTCCTTTACTCCAAACAGGTCAGTGGATCCCAGAGATCAGAGACACCAGGGAAGATTTTAATTAAGCAGATTTCTCCAGGTCCCACCCTAGACCTATTGAAAAAATATTTGGGAGTTAAGCCCTGGGTCAGTTTTGGGATCCACTGGTCTAACCTAACCCCTTCATGAAGGCCTAGAAAGGGAAATGTTTTGCTAGAAGTCATACAGCAAGTTAGTGGCTGAGCTGGGACTAGAATCCAGATCCTAATGAAACTATCAGATTCTCTTCCTCTTCTTGAGCATTTCTCATATCCACACCTGCAAATGTCATGGCAATCTGCTGCTTAAAAACAGGCATGACCCTGACCTCAAAGACAGCAATTACATGGACAAACTCCATGTTGAATACATCTGTTGCATTTTTAAAAAAAGATTATTTATTTATTTATTTGAAAGAGAGCGAGAGCAGGGGGAGGGGCAGAAGCAGAGGTAGAGGGACAAGCAGACTCTGTGCTGAGCAGGGATGTGGGGCTCAATCCCAGGACCCTGAGATCATGACCTGAGCAGAAATCAAGAGTCGGACGCTTATCTGAGCCACCCAGGTGCCCTACATCAGTTGCATTTTAAAAATTTATATTGTGGGGCACCTGGGTGGCTCAGCCGTTGGGTGTCTGCCTTCGGCTCAGGTCATGATACCCAGGGTCCTGGGATCGAGCCCCGCATCAGGCTCCCTGCTCGGCAGGGAGCCTGCTTCTCCCTCTCCCACTCCACCTGCTTGTGTTCCCTCTCTCACTGTGTCTCTCTCTGTCAAATAAATAAAATCTTTATTTATTTATTTTTTTAAAAATATGGAACGCTTCACGAATTTGTGTGTCATCCTTGCGCAAGGGCCATGCTAATCTTCTCTGTATTGTTCCAATTTTAGTATATGTGCTACTGAAGCACATAAATAAAATCTTTAAAAAAAATTTATATTGTGTAAGATCTATATGAGGAAAACCATGAAACTCTGATGAAAGATATTAAAGAAGAATTAAGTAAATGGAGAGATATTTCATGTTTTTGGATAGGAAAACTCAATATTGTCAAGATGTTTGTTCTTTTCAACTTGGTCTATAGATTCAGTTCAATCCCGGTCAAAATCCCACAAGTTCTTTTGTGGATGTTGACAGGTTCTAAAGTTTATATGTAGAGGCAAAAAGAACAGCCAACTCAATATTGAAGAAGAACGAAGTCAGAGTGATGTAGGCAGGCCAGGTCTGAGGATCTGGAGGGGGTCCTGCAGGACCAGCCAAGGCAGTCCCAGGGTGCATGCAGAAGACATCAAATGGGAGCAGCAGGAGGTGAGAGGAGAGTTTATTGAAGGTACAGAGAGAGTGCACGTACAGACAGAATGTCTGGGAAACTCAGAAGGGAAAGGAGAGAGAGTCTCATCTTTGCTCAAATTTTTGCTCTGCAAAGGGATTTTTACTGATGATCATAGTCTGGTGTATGTGGCCTCTTAGGCAACCAGGAACCAGTTAGATGAGGTCCAGGTGTTATTCCTTGGAGCCCGGGGGGTCTTGGTGTCGATTTCTAGCACCAGTGGTCTGGAATATGCATATGATGGCTTGTCTGGTCATTCTCACCCGGTCCTTCTTCAGATGTTGTCTATTCTAGAGAAATCACCATCTCCTTGTCCTTTACAAGGAGGACGTATGCTATTTGCATTCCGAGGCTTGTGTAAAAGTAGGGGTGCAGGTCCTAGCAAGAACAGAAGCAGGAAAAGGAGCAAAAAGCAGATTTCTCTGCAGTCTTTCAGTTTCCCTATGCCAAGAGGACTGATACGACCCAAATTCAAGACTTCTTGTAAAGCTACAGTAATGAAGCCAGTGGTGGTATTGGTGAAGAATAGACCAGTGGGTCAATGGAGCAGAATAGAGAGCCCAGATATAGAGCCACATAGAAACAGCCAGCTCCTTGACCGAGGAGAAAAGGCAGTACAATGGAGCAAAGAGTCTTTTCAACAAATGGTGCTGGAACAACTGGACATCCATATGCAAAATAATGAATCCAGACAGAGACCATACACCCTTGACAAAATTTGGCTTAAAATGGATCATAGACCTAAATGTAAAATGCAAAACTGTGAACCCCCTAGGAGATAACATAGGGGAAAATCTGGATGATCATGGAGATGGTGATGACTTTTTAGGTCCAGGAAAGGCATGATCCATGTAAGAAATAACCTATAAACTAGACTTCATTAGAATTAAAAATTTTTGCTCTGCAAAGGACATTGGCAAGAGAATGAAAAGCCAGACTGGGTGAAAATATTTGCAAAAGACATAACTGATAAAGGACTATTATCCACAATATACAAAGAACTCTTAAAATGCAATGATAAGAAAACAACCTGATTAAAAAATGGGCCAAAGATTTTAACAGACCCAGAACAGATGGCAAGTAAGCGTATGCAAAGATACCCTACATCATGTAACCCCAATGAAATGCAAATTAAAACAACAATGAGATGCCACTATACACCTATTGGAATCCCCCAAATCTATACACCTATTGGAATCCCCCAAATCCCCCAAATACTGACAACACCAAATGCTCTCAAGGATATGGAGCAACAGGAACTCTCATTCATTGCTGGTGGGAATGCAAAATGGTACCGCTACTTTGGAAGACAGATTGATGGTTTCTCACAAAACTAACCATAATCTCACCATACAATCCAGCAATTGTGCTCCTTGGTGTTTGCTCAAAGGAGTTGAAAACTTATGTCCACACGAAAACCCGCATATGGGTGTTTATAGCAGTTGCCAAAACTTGGAAGCAACCAAGTCCTTCAGGAGGTGAATGGATAAATAAACTGTGGTCCATCCAGACAATGGGGTATTGTTCACTGCTAAAAAGAAATGAGCTCTCAAGCCATGACAAGACATGGAGGAACCTTAAATGCATATATCTAAGTGAAAGAAGCCAATCTGAAAAGACTACATGCTGTATGATTCCGCTTATACAACATCTGGAAAAGGCAAAACCATGGAGGTAATAAAAAGATGAGTGGTTGCCAGGGGTTGGGGGAGGGAGACACGAACAGGGCACAGAGGATTTTTAGGGTAGAAAATATTCTATGTGATGCCGTAATGGTGGATTTGTATCATACGTTTGTCTAAACCCATAGAATGTGCTACACCAAGGGTGAAGCCTCATGCAAACTATGGACTTTGGATGATAATGACGTGTCAGTGTAGGTTCACTGATTGTAACAAGTGTACTATTCTGGTGGGGCATGCTGACAGTGGGGAGGCAATGATTGTGTGGGGGTAAGGGGGGTAGAGGAAATCTCTGTACTTTGCACTCAATTTAGCTTTAAACCTAAAACCACTCTAAAAATTAAAAGTCTAATAAAAAAATTTGTAGATCCTTTTGTGGCTCATAGATGTGACAACTGGGAGTTCATGCTATTATTGTGTGAGATGTACTACCCTCCACCCTTATCATGACACTGGCACATTACCGGTCTGATATAGAAAAGAATCTGTCTAGAAGTCAATAAACAAGTTTATGTATACCGATTAGTAGCACTACCCATTTAATGAAGTAAAAAGAGGGTTGTGGGAATTATACAATGCTAAGTAATAAAAAATATTTTAGTAAGTATTCACCATGTACCTATTGAAAGACACAGGGGACAATACAAGAGAAATATAAAATGGGGCTCCTGGCTGGCTCATTTGGTAGAACATGCAACTCTCGATCTCAGGTTTGTGAGTTCGAGCCCTATGTTGGGTGTAGAGCTTACTTAAAATAATAATAATAATAAAAAATAAAATGTTCCTGCAAAGCTAAAAGTCTGGCTCTTTGGCCTGAATTGTAAGAAATCAATAATGCAAATGGACTTTAAACCCTCAGTGCTCTGTTGTTCCAACTCTGTATCTATAATTCAGAGGCGGAGAAAAAGTGTCCACTGTTTTTGTTTTAAGATTCCTTTATTTGAGAGAGAGAGAGTGTGAGAGCATGGGGTGGGGGAGGGGCAGAGAGAAAGAGAGAATCTCAAGCCGACTCCCCACTGAGCATGGAGCTGGACATGGGGCTCAATCCCACGACCCCGGGATCATGACCTAAATTGAAATCAAGAGTTGGGCGCATAACCAACTGAGCCACCCAGGTGCCCCCAAAAGTGTCTACTGTTAAAGGCGTGTTCTCTAGCAGATATGTAACATCTTGTTTCCCTAAGTGACAGAAGGAATGTAAAAAAAAAAAAAAAAATACTCTGTAAACCATAAAGTGCTTTACAGAGACAGATTATTAATGTTACTTTGTGAGATGAACAGCCTAGTTCCAGGACCTGTTGAAAGTATACAGTGACACAAAAAGATGGCGTAGAATTTGAACAAGGATTAGAAAGGAGGCCCCTGAGGATTTTAAGTTCTGGTCACTTGAGGATTCCACTAAGTTTCAGATTTGAGGAGCCAGATGGGAGCCTTCAAGCCCAATGGAGAAGAACAGAGATTACAATGTTTTTGGGACCTGGGACCCAAGAAGAAAGACTAAGGGAATTAGAACCATGACACCCGAAGATAAGGTGTTGTTATTCATCGAGAAGAAAAAGCTAAGGGCTGTCTCTTGTTGAAATAGGTCCAGGGAATCTGGAAGATTGCTCGGTCACTGCCACCTCTGGGAATTGTATCTCGGCTCTGGGAATAAGCCCAAGGCCCTCTTAGTTCTCCCTGGTACTTGTCTGAAGTGTCTTCTGCCTAAGAGGCTCAGGCAACCATTCTGAATACTGAGCTGCTGGAGTTCTAAGAGCCAGGCTTGTAAAGGTAGGTCAAGGTTGAGGTGGGCTGGGGAGGAGGTTAGCCAGCATTCCTCCTGAGGGTCTTTACTAATAGTGGTCTCAGAAAGTGTTCACAGTGCTCCCTTGGCTAAGAATTCTCCAGGAACGTTCACTGGAGAGGCACATGATTCCCCATCACCAGGCACACATGGTCCCCTCAGAAGCTGTGATATTGGTAGTTACACACCCTTTTCAGGGGCAAAAGGAAACTTAGAGCCTTGTTTGAAGCAGTTCCTAGTGATAAACATTCCAGAGAGATGCCCCCAGGACTTGGGCAGGCGGCTAAGGGTGCCCCGGGGCAGAAGGGCAGAAATAAAATGGTTTTGGCACTTGGGACCCAGGAAGAAAGCCTGAAGGGCTCAGAACAGTCGCTGGCATATAGTAAGCCCTTTGTGTTTATGGCAGAAGAGCGGGCAGATTGCGTGTTTAAATAGGGTGGTCAGGGTAGATCTCACTGAGAGGGCGAGATTTGAGCAGACGTGAAGAAGGCAAGGAAATCTGCTCAATGGGTCTCTGAGGAAAGAGCATTCCAGGCCTGAGGAACAGCCATAGCAAAAGTCTGGCAAGTTCCAGACACTCTGGGGCTGGGATTGGGTGAGAGATGAGAAACGCAGTGTTCCTGCTCACATCAGGCCTGTGAGGCCCTGGGGAGGATTTGGGCTTCCACTCTGAGTGAGGTGGAGCCACATGAGTGTTTAGCAGAGGAACGACAAGATCTGTCTTCTGCTCTGCTGTACTGGGAACGACATGGGAGTGGTGAGGGGCAAAGGTCAGAGTAGGAAGCTGTGGCAGGAGGCTAGGGCAAAACTGGGCAAGATATAGTGAGGCCAGAGGAATCAGGGGAGGTGGTAGGAGAGTCTGATTCTGGAAATGTTGGGAAGCCAGCATTGACTTCTAAGGGACTGGTACAGGGTAGTGAGAGTGGGCCCAGCAATGTTTGCTGTCTTTCCTTATGTGCTCAAATGACTGTGTTGTTTAGCCTGAGTTGGATGGATGTGGTTGCCATCAAATGGTTGGGAGAAATAAAGGATCGTGTCAGACAGGCCATTCTTTCATTCAGAGTCTTTACTGGGCCCCCCCTCGTGTTAGGCGCAGGATGACGGACAATGCAAGTGAAGGTCATTATCCACATGGAGCAAGCATTCTAGTCGTATAATTAGACAGTAGCCATGTAAGCGATGTCAACCAGGGATAAGGGCTAGGAGAAAAATAAAGTGTGGTATTGTGGCAGCATTTTGGGTTGCTCAACTTTAGGGGCTGGAAGAGCCCTCTGTGGAGGTGACATCTGCCCTGACGCCATTTCTCCCGAGGCATCAAATGCTTGCCCTTAGAATGATCTAGACCATCAGAGGATGTGTCGTGACCTCTCATGGAATTGCTTGAACTGAACTTCATTTCATCACAAGACCTTTTAAACCACAGCCAAATGAAACACTGCGTGGAAACTGAGGCTATTGTTGAGAATCTTGTGCACCCTGAGGCTCAGTCATATCCCAGTTCCAAAAATTGTGAAAATACTGAGCTGATTTTTTTCTGATCTTTTGGCTGCAATCACGTGACCAATTGTTTTTCATTCTTTGCTTCTGTCACTAACAAGCTAAAAGTCCAGTCTACAACCCCTCTTCTTACAAGTGTATAGGACTGATGGCATTTTGTATACTAGCTGAATCCCTGTTTCAACTTTATTTTACTTAATCAAATTCATTCATTTTATTTATTTTTTCTTTTTCTTTTTTTTTTTAAGATTTTATTTATTTCACAGAGAGAGACACAGC